ATCTATTCAAAAGGTGAATATGTTTAATGTTTGGTCGTTATCTTGGGTTCTGTTGTTATATTTTTGGGCCTAAAAGCAATGTTCTTTTAGGAACCAATGGAGACGTTCTTGTTGGAAATTGACTCGAAACGAAATTCCTCGGTTTCGAACATTTCCAATCACCCAAGTTCATCGTGACCAACTATTGAAGGCACTATAGAGTAAAGATTAATTATTGCTTGATTTATATTGAAATTACCGGTACAATTAATAAATCTCATCTGCCATTTTTTAATCAACAAATGTTTAAAACTAATGTTATGAAGATCTTATCGGTACATCTGAATGGCCAAACTGAGTTGATTTCCAGCAAAATAATAAGTAGGTTTAGAATTAGTTTGAAAACTGACTTAATGCTTAGATTTAACTTTTTTCTCAAAATAGAGATCAGATTGTAAAGTAAACTATAAAGGCCCCATTTTTGTACAATCTCAAAGCTTTGAGCTGTGATGATTAGGCTGTGTAATCCTGATTTGAAGACAGCTTTCGGTCGCGGAAAATTTTCTTCAAAGAGCAAGGGATAGAAAGAGGACGATTCTTTCAGAACAAATTGATATCGATAGATAGAAGTAATTTTTCCTGTTCAGATTTGATCTATGTACCCTTCAAAATTTAAGATTCCACGGTTTTCCTTCCAACCACTCGTCTTGGCTGTGCAGCACACCTTTAATTTAGTTTCAATGCTGTTTAGCGCTTTTTTCATACCCCGACAAGAAATTTAACACTTGAACATGTGAACAAAAAATATTGTCCAAAATTCCATATTTTAAGCATACATTCACTAAATTATATAAACACCTTGACAGGATGGTGGTCTACACTGCGCCACGTCTCCAAACATGAACATAAAGAAAGGTATAATTGCATCTCACTGTTTGGATGGTCTACAACTCGGACTGCAATCTATGGCTGTAATCAAAGAGCATACCAATAAGCGCTGATGCATTATAACTTTTGAAAAATAAATTACAATTAAAAGTCTCCAGACATGCAGT